ATATATATATATATATATATATATATATATATATATATATATATATAAATATACACACACAGGAATTCCCATGGACTATGATGTTTGCAGATGGCAATGTGATCTGTGGTGAGAACAGGGGAGAGGTGGAAGAGAACTTGGCAATGTGGAAGTATGCACTTGAAAGAAGAGGGATGAAAGTCAGTCCTACTAAGACTTTCTGAGTGGCAGGGTGACACTAACAACCTCCAGCTGTTTCCCATCCTGTGTTGATGACCTCCACTGTTTAAGGCCATGGGTGTCAGCTTCTTGTTGCTGTAGCGTTACATGCCTTTTTGTATAATTTGCAGCCCCAGTGAGTTCTCCCTAGTGAAACTTTGCATTAATATTATGAAATATGTCTGTGTCTCCTGGTCTGAGTTCCTGTTACCTTCTGGTATTGTCTGTGTGGACACCTCCCTTGACAGACCTCAGCCCAAAGAAGAAAAATAAAAAATATTTCAATCCAAGCCTGCCACTCTCTCCTCACATGCACTTAACATCTCTTCACAGTGGATCTCCTGGATTCCTCTGAATCTCCATATCCTCTCTGGACCTAAAAGATACAACAGACCAAATCAAACTCAACCATTGTTCATCTCTGTCCAGCTCCTGCTTCCTGAAGCCACATGAATTAATCCTAATTGTCTTTCTACAGGTCCATGCTCAAGCCCTCAGGAGACTTACACCACCTGTAAATAAAGCACTTCTAAATCATCTTTGGTTTGCTGGTCATTTGTTGGTCAGTTTGCATACTCTAGATTTAAGTTGTCACTTCAATCATGTTAAGATGTAGGCCCAAACTAAGAAGGAAGTTGACCCATTCATCCATCCATCCATCCATCCATCCATTGGTGGCCATCATTGATTTTGATGTGACAACCCAATTTAGAAAGGAATCTACCTTATGCGGGGAAGAATGGTGGTGCAACAGGCAGAGCTGCTGTCTCTCAGTGAGCAGGTCCCTGGTTCAAATCCCGGTCCAGGGGCCTTTCTGGGTGGGATTTTTATGTTCTCTCCGTGCATGCGTGGGTTTTCTCCAGGTACTCCAGTTTCCTCACATATCAAAAACATGCATTTTAGGCTGATTGGTAACTCTAAATTGTCCCTAGGTGTGAGTGAGAGAGTGAATGGTTGTTTGTCTCGTTTGTCTGTATGTGGCCCTGTGATGGACTTGCGACCCATCCAGAGTGTACCCCGCCCCTCGCGCAGTGATTTTCGCACATGGGCACTGGCGACCCCCATGACCCAAAATGGAAGAAGCGGGTAAAAGATAATGGATGGATGGATGGATGGAGGTAATACTTATTAGAGGGCTGTAGGCTATCCTCATATCCCTCCATGTACTACACCCTGTATTTCCATAGAGACTCTCTTTTCAACATTTTTTTTATTAATAACAACCTGACTCCCAAATTAATAAATATCAGTTCAAGTCTTTAAATTGTATTATGCTTCATGGGATGCAGCCCAGTGATTTTGCTTGTTCAAATAGCATAATATCTACACAAAGGTGGCCAGAGCAGGGTTGTGCACTTTTACAGGTGTTGTTATTGGTGTCTTTCTCACAGTCTGAGGAGTCATTGTGCAAACAGAGAGGAGATCCGGAGATCCCTCAGCTCTCTAAGGAAGGAGATATTATGTTAGGAGGAATATTCTACTTTCACAGCAGCTGGAAGAACAAAGAGAACACTTACACACAAAAACCTCTACGATTGGAATGCATCAGGTAAAGTATACAAGGAGTCATTTATTTCAGTTTTGTCTATAGACACAAAATAAGGACATCATTTAGTACACTACTGTTTCTTTTTCAAAAGTAATTTCTTTCTGGTAAAACCTATTTATTATTTTTAGCATATATGTATATTTATTTATTTATTCTTTGCAAACAGTTTGAATTTCAGAGAGTTCCAGTTTGCTCAAGCCATGCGTTTTGCCATTGAGGAAATTAACAACAGTACAGAGCTACTTCCAAGTATTTCTTTGGGATACAATATCTATGATACATGTGGTTCCATTGTCAGAAGTATAAAAGTGGCACTTACATTAAACAATGGTAATGATGATGTGTCTTCAGCCTCTGAGAAGCCATGTACCAGACCTGTAGCCATAGTAGGAGAAACCTCCTCCTCTCCCAGCACAGCAATAGCTACAGTTCTTGGACCATTTCATATCCCAGTGGTGAGTATAATTGCTAAAACACAATCAAAATATATAAATATATATTTAAGCCGGCTCATAAGTTATTTTAAAATGAATGAATTAAAAATAAAAATACTTTTTATACTTTGTATTTTCTTTTTCTTTTTTTTTTCTTACAGAATTTTTTGTTTTTATTTTAGGTCAGCCATTTTGCTACATGTGCTTGTCTCAGTGATAAGACAAAGTACCCATCCTTTCTCAGAACCATACCCAGTGACTACTATCAGGGTAGAGCTCTAGCCCAGTTAGTCATACACTTTGGATGGACCTGGGTTGGAGCAATTTGCACAAATGATGATTATGGCAACAATGGCATGGCGATTTTCACAGAAACTGCAGAGCAGCTGGGCATCTGTCTGGAATATTCTGTTTCTTTCTTTAGAACTGATTCATCAGAACAATTACAAAAGATAATTGAAATAATCAAGGCTTCAACGTCTAAGGTTATTGTTGCTTTTGTCTCACATTTGGACATGGATGTGCTTATACATGAGCTGTCAATTTACAACATGACAGGATACCAGTGGGTTGGCAGTGAGTCATGGATCTTTGATTCTCAAATAGCAAAAATGGATACAAATCACATCCTGGATGGAGCTATAGGACTTTCCATCCCTAAAGTGCATGTCAGTGGTCTGAAAGAATTTGTACTGGATGTGAAGTCACTGAATTCATCAAATAATGACTTGTTTACAGAGTTCTATGAGGCATTATTCAGCTGTAAGTTCAAGCATTCACAATCAGAAGAGATTCAGAGAGAATGTACTGGACATGAGGATCTGACTGGAGTGGAAAACAGCTTCACTGACATGTCGCTCATGCCTATACTGAATAATGTCTATACTGGAGTGTATGCAGTGGCTCATGCTCTGCACAATATTCTCAAATGTAATCAAACATGTAACATTAATGTACAGTTAGATCCACTCATGGTGAGTTTATTATTAACATTAAGTATCACAAATGACATTTATAAACAAAGAAAATAGTTTGCATTGTGAAACACCAGGAACTTGAATGATGCTATGATCATGTTAGACATTAAAGCAATGTCAAAGTTTTCTCATATAAATAACACAATAAATAATATTTTAAAGGTTTTGCAGCACATTTATGAAATTCACTTCAAGCCAAAAAATGGACTTGAGGTTTATTTTAATGAAAATGGAGATCCAGCAGCAAAGTATGAGATCATAAACTGGCAGCTAAAAGAGAACAGATTAATAGATTTTACAACTGTTGGTCTTTACGATGCTTCATTACCTGAAGACAAACAACTAAATCTGCTAAAAAAATCTTTAACTTGGGCACAAAATTCAAAGCAGGTAAAGTTCATTGTAATTGGTTTTATAGTGTTATCCAACATTAAACATGAGTCTCAATGTTTACAACAGTTTATTTACATCAAAAGTTGTCAAAGTAATGTTACTTTTTTCTTGTAGGTTCCTGTGTCAGTCTGCAGTGAGAAATGTCCTCCAGGAACTCGGAAAGTTCTACAGAAGGGAAAACCTGTTTGCTGCCATGACTGTTTAAGATGTGCCGAAGGAGAAATGAGCAACTTTACAGGTTTAGTACATTTTTATGCAAGATTTGGCTATTTACTGTAGACCAAAACATAGCCTTCCAGCTTTTCTGCCAACACAGTATTTTTTTTTTCATTATTGGACAGAAGACCAATTACATTTGCTTTTTAATATCTAATGCCAGCTTCAATATGACAATTTACAGATTCTATCACCTGCATAAGATGCCCCCCAGAATCCTGGTCAAATGAAAGAAGAGATGCCTGCGTAATAAAAGAAGTTGTCTTCCTTTCATATAAAGAAGTAATGGGGATGCTCCTCACTGCAGCCTCATTATTTGGAACATGTCTGACTGCTGCTGTCGCTGTCATTTTCTTCAGACACAGAAAAACTCCTCTTGTCAGAGCAAACAACTCTGAGTTGAGCTTTTTGCTGCTTTTCTCCTTGACTCTGTGTTTTCTCTGCTCTCTGACCTTCATTGGACGTCCCTCTGAGTGGTCCTGTATGCTCCGTCACACAGCTTTTGGCATCACCTTCGTCCTCTGTATCTCCTGCGTTTTGGGGAAAACAATGGTGGTTTTGATGGCGTTTAAAGCTACACTTCCAGGCACTAATGTGATGAAACTGTTTGGGCCGACACAGCAGAGACTCAGTGTTTTGGGTTTTACTTTTATACAAGTTATCATATGTATTATGTGGCTAAAAATTTCACCTCCTTTTCCAACCAAGAATTTTGAAGAATTTAAAGATAAAATCATCTTGGAGTGTGCTCTGGGCTCAGCTGTAGGTTTCTGGTCTGTGCTTGGGTACATTGGACTTCTTGCCATATTGTGTTTCATTTTAGCTTTTCTAGCTCGGAAACTTCCTGATAATTTCAACGAAGCAAAATTTATCACCTTCAGCATGCTGATATTTTGTGCAGTCTGGATTACTTTTATCCCAGCATATGTCAGCTCTCCTGGAAAATTTAGTGTTGCTGTAGAAATATTTGCCATTCTTGCTTCTAGTTTTGGACTGCTGATTTGTATCTTCATTCCAAAATGTTACATTGTGTTGATGAAACCTGAAAAAAACACAAAAAAGATCATAATGGGAAAGGGATCTCAAAAATAATTCTAAAATAAGAGAAAAGTGTGATTGTAAAAAGCAAGTAAAATGTTTTAATTTAGCTTTTTTTTATTTTTTATTTTTGGTTAACTGTAGTAACATTTAGCTTCCTTTCTTTTATAAACAACAGATGTATCAGATTTGTGTCACATATGTAGCGGAAAATTACCACTTTCTCACATTTTACTTCTTGAGTTTGTCTGTGTAACAAATCTTGTAGTAAACTTATAGTAGAATGTCACTGAATCATTCTCATGCTTTGTGCTCCCCACAGTAAATGTTATAACTTCAACTCGTTTTGGTTTTCTGTGACATCTCACACAAATGGAACTTGTCTACAGTAGGTGAAGGGACATGTCTTCACAAAATAAAAATAAATAATAAATATTAAAATATATATGTATATATTCATTTGGACCCCCCCCCCCCCCACACACACACACACACACACACATTTACCATAAAATCTTAGTTCACCCAGCGCCCTTTCAACTTTTTTTGTGAACAAATCCATTATGCTGGTGAAGATTCTCAGTTCTCAACAAATCCATTCCACTTGATTAAAATGAAATTAATCCAGTAAATGTTCACTCTGGGTTTTCCTGGTTGCCTATAACAACTCACCACACCACATGTAGTGTTTCCTCTAGGTCACATGACTTTGCAGGGCGCTCATCTCTGAGGGTCTTTTTGTGGATGGAGTGGGGGGAGGAAGGAGAGACACGTCTGTGTTGCACGTTAGATTAGCACTATGTTAGTGCCAGCAGTTGACTGGGGTGGGGGGTTAGGATGTGTGAGCGATGTGGAGTACTAAGTCTGTAGTATATTACCTAGTGTGTATGCATTGCGCACTGCTAGCTTAGCACTACATTAGTGCTGGCAGTGAAAGAAGCAAAGCGTGCCCTATTCACACAATGAGAGCTGTTGATTGTCTACTTCTTGTTGTTACAATCATGTTAGAATGTTCCAGCCTGGACAACCAACCTAGCAAACAAATTCATGACTCCACCAACTTACAGAATAAATGAACTGATCAACACATATACACTTTGCAACAGATCCTCACCCAGCAAAGAACCACCAAGGCCAAGCAGCTGGGACGCATGATGTTTAACATCGATCAAAAGTAGGTCGCAAATTACCACTCCCTGAAAATGCATCAAAAACTCCAGCAGCAACCCAGTCCCCATACACGCCTTCACTCTTGGGATCTTCTGTAAATTGGACATTAGACCATCTGAGCTGCTTGAAGGTCACTCGGAGCAATGTGGAGTTTTTTTTGTTTGTTTTTGTTTGTTTGTTTAACAATGCAGATTAGCCTTTAATTGCGCTCCTTATACCTAAGCCTCTCAGTTCTATTTCATATAGGCTTCGCCCTTTAAGGCTGTCGCTGATGGGCTTATCCCGTTATGCAGAGCATAAGCACTGAAAAAATTTAGTCCACGCCCACCTGCTGTGTGGGCCCCACCCGGTCCGTATAAATTACGTTAAGAGCGGGAAATCGGCTCCCA